ATCCGATATGGGTGTGATGACACTCATCTTATCCCACCAAGACAAGTCAGCCTAAAACCCAATATCTAACAAAGTGCGGAAGTAAATGACAACCCAACAACAATTTCTATAAAAGAAAAACCAAGTCATATTAATTCAATCCCCAAAACCAGGTTGTCACGTGCACAAGCCTCTAATGTAAATATTAGAATTGAAACAAAATAGAAGTCTAAAATGAAGTTGTCTTTCAAGTAAAAACAAAGTCATAAACTGGAGTAGGAAAGTTCGCTGAGATGACGAGCAGCTACCTCACAATCCTCCACAAGATGCCTCGAAAACGAAGAGAATGGAAGGTATCACAAAAATCCGGGCTCATAACCTACAAAAATTTGTAGAAGCAAGGGGTGAGTACCAAACCACGCGGTACCTAAGAAGCAAACCTCTAAACACAAGTTAAGTGAACAAAATACGGGTACTCCTTACGCCCTATCTAAACCTCCACGCTACAGCCTAACAGTTTACCAAACACACCACTCAATAACCACACTCTAACAGTTTACACATTCTCAATAACAACTCCATATTCAACAGTCACAAGCTTCACAGAGAAACAATCACAAGATCAGCAAAACACATGTTCAAGTTCATCAATAATAAAAATGTGCAATGCCATGAGATGCAATGTCAAATATCGTGATGCATGTCTTTCTTAACGATACACACCCGCTGTCTCTCAGTCCGGGACCCATGGGAAACATACCTGTCCGTGCATCTGTCGCGGCGCACGACACGACCCTCGATAATAGTAACCTTCGCGGCGCGCGATACATTCCTCGAAATATAATATCCATCGCGGCGCGCGATACGACCCTCGAAAATAGTACATCCTCTTACCACAACCATGTCTCAGATACAATGCAAATGACATGCTCAAATGAAAAGGAGGAGATAAACATTTGATAACAAAGCACAATTTGCAACAAGAATACAACACCAACAAATAAACAACAAGTCTCCAAATCATTCTCAACATCACCCAAGGAAATACACGAATTTCGTACGCTTAACAAGAGTTTAGAAATCCACTTGCCTTAGCCAATCGAATAATTACTCTTGGACTTGAGCCTTCCCTTTCCGTTGAGCTTCTGAACCAATGGAATCTATTCAAGTATATATTCACAATAAGGTTTTCAGAACTAACAACACTCACACTTTTATGTGTTTAACCTTGACCCAAAAATACACCCCAACTTTATAATCAAATTTGTAATTATTGACGTTAATTAATATTTTAAGTATCATATTCAAATGGTATTTATATGATATATAAATCTAATATTTAATTACCTACCCCATGTACCAAAATTTAACTCAGAATGTGATGATAATAATAATTTTAATCCAAATTACCGATTACTCACGGAAGGAGCACAACCACCATTCCCAACAGTTCACTCATACCCCTTGAATACACTTTTCCAAATACTTGTTTTCCATACACACATGTACAACAACCATTACACATTGAAATACAAAAAAAAAAAGACTCAACAAATTACAATTATTTTTATAAAGGTTCCACACAAAATTAATAACCTAAGAATATATAATAATATCAATAGCCACAACACTGTTTTCTTTTCTTTGTATCATATTGTCCCAAACCCTCCAGAAAGATGCACAGCATCATAAATCACCCCTGTAACCAACACTTTATAAGCACTATCACTATACTAATTATATATAATAATAATAATAAAATAATGGTGCTTCCGGTAGTCCCAAAATTCCACGAATGGCACACTAAATAAGAATAAAATATTAACCACTCCGCTAAACCAAATTCTCAATTCATACAAAATTTCCATTTGACATAGAGTCAATATGACAAAACAATTGCGATAAATTGCTCTATTAATTGTTACCTAGAGATCGAATTTCTTTCCCTTTCCTCTCTCGTGCGTTGCTCAGGTAAGGTTTCTGCCTTTCCTTCTTTTCTAAATTAATTATTTATTAAACTGATCAAAATCACTAACTTATTATTTTTTTATATATATATATATATACATGACCCTAATAGTATAAAATCTTAAATAACTGATCACTTTAGCCCACTAACTATCTATTAATTTTTTTTATCTACAATTACTCATAAATAAATTAACTCAAGTTATATGAATAATTTAAATTTTCCAAAAATAACCTCACGGGTCATTTGTGATGGCACTTGTCTTATCCCACCAAGACAAGTCAGCCTAAAACCCAATATCTAACAAAGTGCGGAAGTAAATGACAACCCAACAACAATTTCTATAAAAGAAAAACCAAGTCATATTAATTCAATCCCCAAAATCAGGTTGTCACGTGCACAAGCCTCTAATGTAAATATTAGAATTGAAACAAAATAGAAGTCTAAAATGAAGTTGTCTTTCAAGTAAAAACAAAGTCATAAACTGGAGTAGGAAAGTTCGCTGAGATGACGA